CCCAGCTCCTCGCTCCACTCCTGCGGGATGAGCATGAGGCACCCAGGGAACAGCCCCAGGGGGCGTGGGGATCACCGAGATGGTCAGTCCGGGAGGTGACTGGGGGACATCAGAGGTTCGACAATGGGCAATGCTGCAAGGGACCTGTCCTGCCCCTGGTGTGGGTGGCTGGGGGGTAATGGAGGGACATTGAGGGCCACCACAGGACATGGGAGACACCCCTAGGGACCAGCCCAGCCTTTGGTGTGTTCAGGTGTGAGGTGGTCGGGGAATAGCAAGGCCCTTCATGGGGGATGGGGGACCCCACAAAGGACTCCAAAGAGCTCTGCTATGTCCTTGGGTGATTAGAAGGCATCAGAGGGACATGGGGGACACCAAAAGGCACCTCAAGGGATCAGCCCTGCTTTCAGTGTACCCTGGATGTGGCAGACATGCTCTTCCCCAGGGGCTCCACACCAGCCAGCTCTTCTGCTTCATTAGCGTGTTAGCAAAGTACTGTGTGTCACCCATGGGCTGCCCACCTCCCTGGGCATGGCCAAGAAGGTGGATGTGATATCGAAGGTGGGGGACACGGGACCTGCAAGGGGGCTCACCAGCTTCTGCATGTTGGCAGCAGGGGGCTGCACTTTGCTCCTCAACTTGTTGTGCAGTGAGAGCACCAGGAAGGTCTCCTTCGTGCTGAGAGCTGGGGGGGACAGCAGGGGATGGGGCAGGGACCGAGGGGGCTGAGAGGTACAAGTGCCCTCCCCGTATCCCTGGCTGAGGCCGGACCCTTCAGGGGGCCGTGGGAATTCCCCCTGAAGGGTCCGACCGCAGCCGGGGATACCGGGAAGGCACCCGGGTCTCCATGGAGACTTGAGGGGAGAGAAGAAAGAGCTTTTGGGCTGGGAGCACAAAAGGGGCAAGGGGACGGGGGGGGGGCAGCCCGCTGGGCCCCCGTCTCGCACGGGTGGGCTGAGACTGCCAGGAATGTGCCCCTCTGTCCCCCCACCTCTGTCCTGCCAGGATCCAGACCCCACTGGGCAAAACCCATCACTAGCCCCCATCACCAGCTGCAGAACCCCCACCCCCATTCCATAGCAGGCTGCATCCCATTCCCAGCCCCAGAGCCCCCTGGTTCCATTGCAACACCAGCCCCAGAGCCCCCCAACTCCATCCCATCACCAAGTCCATGCCCCTCCTCCCAGTCCCGTTCCATCCCCAGCCTCTATCACCCACCAAGCCCCCCACAGCCATCCCTGTGTGCCCATCACCCACTCAGTGCCCCACACACTGGACTGCCCCAAGGGGACGGTGCTCAGGGCACACTCATCCCCCAAACCCGCTGCCTCCCAGCCTGCTGCCGGGAGGGGCAGCCCCTCCACCAGTTACCTCCCGGAGCCAGCGGGGACAATTTTTCTGGAGCATCCGATCTCGTCTCACCCACCCTCCACGCCAGGAGGCTGCAAACCAGCAGGACCAGGAGCTTCATGTATGTCCCGGGACGTGGGGAGCAGACCCCAATTTCCGGAGGGAGGGCTGGGGACAGCCGAGCGGCCCCGCAGCAGCCCCGGCTCTGGGGCGAGCTCGGCCGTGCGCTCCTGCGTGCGTGTGTGTGCGTCTGGTTGCAGGATTTGATCCTATTCAGGACTCCAGACAGGCACCGCTGGGCAGCGGGAACAAAAGCTTGACGGGTGAGTAATGGCTCTGTCAAAACAGTTGCTCGCTGGAGCGAATGTGGCAGACAACTCCCGGGGCCCCGGGCTGCAGCCCCGCCGGGATGTCCCGCAGCGGGGTCAGCCCTCCGTGCTCTGCCCCAGCCCCTCTGCCCAGCCCGGGTCGGGCTGTGAAGGCAGCAGGAGCAGGGGTCGCTACCGGCACCCACTTTGGGACACTGGGAGACTGGAAGCCAAGGGGCTGGGGCAGCAAGGGGGCCCCTGCTGCCAGCCTCCCTCCTGCCCTATGAATTAAACATGCCGGGGAGGTAACACACACCGTGCAGGCACGAAGCCAAATACCCGCTCCGGAGAGCTGGGCAGCGTGGTTATAGGGTGGGAGGATGTGAAAGCCAGGGGCCGGCGGCGGGAGAGGTGCTGGGCACAAGGGGGCCGTGTCTCAATGGGCACCTGGATCAAGCACGGGTCCCACAGCCCAGGCTGCTCAGGGGGCTCAACAGCACCATGAGAACTCTTCACCAGCACAGGGCTTTGCAGAACCCATGGCAGGTGCTCCCCTGGCACAGGGCAGAGGTGAGGGCTTCAGATATCCTTGCTCAGGATTCTGCAATGCCACAGCCAGGAGGGACTGGGAGCATCCTACGCACCAGCTGTCAGGGCTGAGCTGGGTGTCAGCATAAACCCAGCCGTAAATGCTTCAGTTCCCTCAGCCTGAGTCTAAACCTGACCCAGGCCTGAACCCTGGCACTAAGCCCAACCCCAGCTCTCATACAAACTTTCTTACTAATATGGATCTGAGCCTTTGGCATGGATCCTAACACTAACATTAACAAAAAAACTAACTTCAGCCCTAACAATTACTTTAATGCTAATCAAAACATTAAAATTAATGCTAGCCCCAAACTTAACCCTAATGCTAACCCCAACTCTAATCTTAACCCTAATCCTAACCTCATCCCCAGCCCTAATGCTGACTCTAATCCTAACCCTGACCCTTATGGGTTAATGTGGACTGTAACACCAACTGCACCCCAGCTCCAGGCTGCAGCAGCACCTGGGGTTCCCCTCTGAACTCCAGCCAGGGCTGAGCTCACCCCAGCAAAGCTGTGCTGAGTCCAGTGAGTCCACAGCATTCACGGGCTCCCCTTCCCAGTAGCCCCACCAGTGAGCAGAACCCCCGCACAGATCCCAAAGTCGTCTTTTCTCCCAGGAGACTTTCCCAGGCTTAGCTGGTGCACGGGATTAGCCTCATCTTGCATCTCTGCGTGCCGGGGAGCCCCAGCGGCAGGACTGGCCTGTGGTGAGCCCGGCACCGCCGGTACCACCGTGAGTGCCGTGACAGCCACCGCCTGGCCCCGATATCTGCTGGCCTGGGACATGAAAGGCCCCAAAGCCTCTGATGTGCAGAGAGGGAAAGGAACGGAAGGGAAGGGAAGGGAAGGGAGAGGCTACAGCCAGTGCCAAGGGGAAACTTTCCTACAGCTCGGCCTCAGGCAGGGGAAAAACCAACAAACACATGGGCACAGGATGTGGATAAATCCCTGCGAGTGCAGGAGCGCGGCTGCGAGCAGAGACGGACCGCCAGCGTCTTGCCCCTGTTATCAGCCCCAGCGTGATGCTCCTCATCCCACTGCCAGCCTGGCTGGCCCTGGGCATCCTGCAGCTGCCCCTCAGCGGCTCCCAGGTAAGGACCTGCATTCCCTCTCCTCCAGCCCTCCAGCAGACCTCCCTCTCTGGGCTGCTCAGCACCCACCTCTCACACCCCAGCACCGTGGAGGGGGGTACGGCACAGCCACAGCACCTGTGGAGCTGCCAGGGCCTAAGGGGTGGTCATGGGGCTTTTCCCCTGCAGCAGTGAAATGATGTTAAATGCACACAGCGCATGCAGCTTCTCCACAGCATCCAAGTGCCACGGCAGGACCGGGAGGTGGGGGCTGAGGCTGGAGCAGACACAGAGCCAGGGTCAGACCCCAGCCAGGATGGGAAGGGGCTATGTCCAGGGCAGGACATCCAAACCAACCCCAAAGATGCTACCTGCTTGGAAGAGTCCTCCCAGGCTGACGCAGACTGAAGTGTGTGTCCATAATCCCCCAGGAGTGCCTGAACAGGCAGCAGGCACTCAGCGTGGTGCGGCAGATGCAGAAACTGCTGGTGGCACAGGAGGCCGCCCACCTGCAGGGCATCCGTGGGCTCCGGCACCAGCTCTCCATCCTCCAGAGCCACCTCCAGAGAGCAGCCACCAAACACAATGGTAATCCTGGCTGGTCACCACCACAGGTGACATCCCTTTGGGGCCAGCTCTGAACCCTGACCCTGCACAAACAGCGTGGGCAAGCGACCCCCAGCTCCCTGTCAGGCTGGAGTTGGCTCTAGGCTGGCAGTGCCCATCCCCACCCATGTCTGTCTGTCCACAGAGATCTGCCCACAGCTGGCAGTGCCCCTGAATGGACGGATGCTGGGCCGGAGCCTGCGCGTGGGCCACGAGGTTCACTTCATCTGCGACGCCGGATTCCGGCTGGTGGGCTCGGAGACGCGCGCCTGCCGGCACAACCGCACGTGGAGTGGCACCCAGCCCTTCTGCAGAAGTGAAGTGGAGCGGGGTTGGGGTGCCATGGGCTCTGCCCTTCCAACGGGCTCCTCTGTCACCCTGAGCTGTGGGGTTCCATTGCTCTGCTCAGAGGCTGCGGCAATGGGCACCGGGGTTGGGCAAGGGTGCACCTCTCCAGCTGATGCTCACGAGCTCCTTCTCCCCAGGTATTGATGACTGCTCCAGCAACCCCTGTGCCAACAGCGGGACCTGTGTGGATGGCAACCAGAGCTACACGTGCCTCTGCCCCCCAGGCTGGTCAGGCCCCAGCTGCCAGAGCCCCATCTACTCCTGTAGGTGCCTGGGTTTGGGCTGCAGAGGATGGGGATGCTCATGGGGACAGTATCTGGCCATGCTGTGCCTGTCTACCCCTTCCCTGGCAGCCCCCTGGTACCTTGCCCCCACCATCTCCCCATGCCCCAGCATGACACCTGCTGTCCCCTGCAGACTGGGTGACCCTGAGCAACACCTCCTTCAGCCGCCAGCCCCGCTGTGCCGAGGGCCGCTCGGGCTCTCGGCGCTGCAGCTGTGACACCGGCTTCCAGCTGCAGCCTGGTGGCATGTGCCAAGGTAAAAGCGGGATGATGATGATGAGATAATGGAGGATGGGGAACCAAGGCTTGGTGGCAATGGGACCTCTGACTATTCCCCACTTTGTGCACCCTAGATGTGGATGAATGCCAGCTCTACCAGTCCAGCCCCCAGACGCAGATTTGCCTCCATGACTGCCTCAACCTCCCAGGCTCCTACCGCTGCCTCTGCCCCCCCGGGTATCTGCTCCACGCTGACCGCAATGCCTGTGAGGGTAAGAACCCAGGGTGCAGGGCAGGGAGCCTGCCACGGGAAGAGAGATGCAGTGGGGACAGCCCCACTCACCCCGTGTCACCACCACAGATGTGAATGAGTGCACTGGGAAGCAGCACAACTGCAGCCAGGGTGACCTCTGCATCAACACCTTCGGGGGCCACCGCTGTGTGCGCCCCAAGTGTCCCCCGCCGCGCCACAACACCAGCTATGTCAAGACCTCTGCCTTGTGAGTACCCTGCTGTGCGTGGCTTGGGCTGTGTTGTGCCCTGTCCCAGGGTGATGGGTCCTGTTGTGGGCTGGGGGCTGTATTGCGTCACCCAGGGGCAGCAGGGAGAGTAGCAGCCAGCACTGGTGCAAAATTGCCACATGGGGTGCTCAGGTGTGCTTGGCATGTTCTCTGATGGTCTTGGGATGCTGGGGGTGCAGGTGGGAGCACTCCAATATGTGGTGGCTTTATCCAGGATCCTGGCCCCTCTCAGAGCCACAGCCTGGGGAAAATGATGCTGATTTTCTTCTGCTGCACATACATGTGGTGCCATCAGCTGCCTTCCAGCAGTCCCACCCATCCCACTCCTGAGATTAAACTGCTTTGTGCCACCAAATAGAGGAGCCCTGATCCTGACAGATTCCTCTTCAGGAGGCACATCTGGCTCCATCCCTGGCCTTCAGCTGGGACTGTGATACCACCCCAGTCCCTCAGAGTGTCACCTAGAGCTGAGTCCCTGCAAGCCACAGCATTTGCCTGGCAGAAACAGGGATGAGGCAGAGATCCGATGATGGGCACACCTGGATGTGGCTCTCTTGGGTTGCTCTGCCACAGGAGTGACAGCAGGGCTGGAGGTGCTGCCTGTGGCACAGGCTGGGCTTGTGTGCAAGGATGAGGGCAGCATCCTGAGTATAGTGGGTATTTTTTCCCCTGACGAGGGGAGAGAATAATGCATCTGACTCCATCTTATCAGAAGGCTAATTAATTACTTCACTATACTATATTATTCTCTATTACATTACATTATATTACTTTACATCTAAACTGAATCTGCTAAACACTTAACTGCACTGAATCTTGTGGCTGTCAGCCGACAGTCCTGACACACACATACTTGGCCCTGATAGGCCAAGGAAACAAAACACCATCACTTTGGGTAAACAGTCTCCATACTGCATTCTACTTTTGCACAAACACAGGCACACCAAATGAGATAAGAATTGTTTTGATCATTCTCTGAGGCTCAGAGAATGTGAATCCCAGAATTTTCTTGGGAAGATTGCCTTGCTTTTCTCTGTGAGGACAAATGTGTCTACGCTGAGAGCCAAACCATGGCACTGAGCGGCAGCACCCTTCTCTCCTGGCAGCCAGTGCGAGCGGAACCCCTGCCCCATGGACAGCCGAGCCTGCCAGCTGGCTGCCAGCTCCATCTCCTTCCACTACCTGCCGCTGCAGGCC